TGGTTAAGGGCCCACCTGGCATTGCATAATTCTTTTTAATTGGAATGATCACATATTCGAATGGGGTAAAATAGTAAAGTCAACGTTTCGTTCAGAGTTCAATGTTTTCTTTCTGTTCAACTTAATTCTATTCACTTTTTTCTATAGTGCTAATTTACAACCTGTCATCACGGGCCATCTGTTGAGACAGTTTAATCAGCAGCATCTGTGATCAGCTAGATTAACAACTCCCAAAAAAATACAGATTACATAACAGATACATTAATCAGCACAAACCTTTCTTTTGTCTTTTGTTGGCTCTGTACAAGTAAAGCTGAGAAACACTGCCTCATGTCTTCTAACTCACGGTTCCTTTTAAGCTCCCACAGAAAACTTTGCTTTTTTGACTTAACATGCCGTTTTGTTAATGTTTCCTCCCTCATTCTCACCTGGACCCCCTCATCTCCTCTCCCTCCAGGACAGTGAAGGTGGACGTTTATGACTGGGACAGAGATGGAAGGTAAATTCTCTTGCTATCTTTCCTTTTGTTCATTTGATTTTCAGCTCCACTCAGAACCCCTCATATGTCACACCAGTTTAGTCCATCATAGACAGAAGCTATAGCATCTCTCCTCACATTGCAGAAGTTTTGATTATAAACTTTGTGGGGATTTTCCAGCTTGTTTGCTCCATGTCTGCTTTCTAAAATGGATTTTTCTTTCCACACCGATTTAAAGTATTTAAGCCATGAATGAAATTATGTGCAAATGTCAGGCTTTCATAATAAGAACCAAAACGTTCTTTATTGCTAAGTAGTGTTTTTTCATACATGCACGGTACAGTCTTGGTGACCGGTTGTTACACATAAACATGCAAACATACAGACAAAATATGCAGATATGGAGTTATTAAAAAAATTAATAATAAACAAAGACTTTACAAAGAGGGTAGTGATGGAAACTGGTCTGAGGAGTCATGGATGGAGGAGTAATGAGGTACGGTGACGAGATGTCAGCAGAAACAGTCGTAGAATTGGTTCAGCTCATATGTAAAGCCCAGAACACACCAAATCCGATTTTGCGTCCAGTCCGACAGAAAATCGTGCCTTAGAGGTGGTGGCGTTTAGCGCTTATTGAAAGTCAATGGGGATGATTTCCTGCAGGGGGCAGCGTAGCTCTGACTGAGATAGAGCCCAGGTCTGTTTTAGTCAGCAATTCTGCAGCAATTTCATGGGTCTGACAGGAAGAGAGACGCGGTTACAAAGTAAATCACATCCGCTTTGGGGGAAAACACAAAATAAAATCTGTTAATCTATCGAGGAAAGAGTCAGTTTGGAGTCGCTCATCGTGTTTATAGTAAGCAGGACAGACTGGAGCAAAAACAATAATGAAACATTAAAATAGAAAACTTTCGCCATGATAGGAGTTCAGGAGGACAGAAAATGGATAAAGTAGTGATCCTCTTTGAGCCTCACAGAAACCAAAATAAGGAGAGGCAGACAGAGCAGGTAAACGCAGCCATTCTGTTCTGCATCCCAGAATGTGAGCTACGCTAAGGCTGGCAAGGTTAGGAGATGACCAAACGGAAAATGTTTAAGTTAACTGTAACATTGTCAGGGTCCTGCTTTGGTTGGTGATTTTAAACACCACTAAAGTGGTTGGACCTGATAATGACATGCTTCCCTTGCAGGCCCAGGAGGAACTGTAGGGTTCCCAGCAGGCCTCGGCAGATGGTTGCTGACATTGAGTCTGACGTCTCTTCCCGTTCGAAGA